TTGACACTGTCCATGCTTGACCCTGCGTAGACTGTCGTGAAATTTGCTTCAAAGAATTCAAAGTCAAATCTAGCCTGGAAGCTGACTATCATCAGGCTTTTCTTCAATCTCGAACATTAGCGCTATTGTCCAGGATCGGATATTAGAAATTTCTTTTTCTAACTTAGCAGAGCTCTACATCGTTAATAAACACTCAACTTATAGTAATACATGCAGCCCAAGTGAACAACCTTTTTTGATCCAACATACCTAATTCGTCTCTCCTCCACAGTTGGTTATTGTTTGTTATTTATGAAAGATGAGTAATTTTCATTTGCTACTTGTGACTTCAGAGCACGGCAGCGATGTTTGCCTATATCCCTGGTCATAGAGGACCACTAGTAAGCGGATACCTATATTCTTTGAGAAAAGACTCAATAGTAAATCTCAAGCTCAATCCAAAACGGTGTACCTCTGAATCAGATCTGGAGAGAAGTAAAATTAAGAACTAATCCTTCAATTTACATGACAACGCAATTAAAGTGCGCTGCTCATCTATTTGAAACAATCTTTGGAATTATTCAGCAGCAGCAATACTTACAAGAGAAGGATACCATGTTCAGTCTAGACGATTCCATGTTCGCTTGTGTCATTGCACCGCGCGCGCTCACCCTAAAATAATCTCACGCCATGGATCGCACATCTTCCGTAAAATTTTTAAAGACAGCTCCTTTATAAACTCTCCCTTTTTTGACTTCGTGTTATCTATATTGAATTATCCAACAAAAACCCATTGTTTCCGTTCCTTTTGTGATTGTAGCTAGATTTTCGTATGGCCGAAAGCTCAAAAATAAATACTTCTGTATGGATCTATTAAGTATGCCCTGAGTCTTTAATAATTATTCTCTAAGGAAGGAATTGAGGACTGGGGAATATGAAGGAAGCACTTCAGAAAAGCTCAAGTTAAGTAACACGATCCAGTTGGCGAAGTTTCTTTTATGAGCGCGCCTAATGTGTATTTGCATAGACGAATGACGAGTCTGCGAAATCTTCTAACATGTAGTGACCTCGGCCGTTCGAAATGAGACCAGTGAACACTTGGAACTTGATCCCATCCACCTTCTCTAGAAAAATCTACAAAGATATAGTATACAAACTGCAAACCAGATAACTTTGTATCGTTAGTTTGTGACGTTTTGAGTATTGAGCATCGACAAATCTTCACGCTCTCTGAGACCAGAACTTCGTCGTAATGTATGAATCAGATTCGTAGAAGGTGTTCCCGAACTACAATAGGGCGAGAGGAGCACGATTATGAACAGTTTATTGAAATAACACATAGTGCAGGATAGAAGTATATGAAATAATCCTTGAGCGGTGGCTTGAGAGATGAGCTTCTTCTCAGAGGCGCTGTACGGCCGAGGGATGAAATTGAGGATCCCTTGGCTTTCACTACAGCCGTTGCACGATAACCTCCTTGATTATCCTAGATTAGTACACGATAAACATATCAGTTCCTCTAGATCATTTACTTTAACCCTTGCGGTCGCTTTAAGCCTCTCACAGTAATGCCTTGGCATGGAAACTTGACTACTACGTCGTATACCCAGATATCAATTAAGCACTGGCAAACATATAGCTAAGTGTATCTCCTTGCTGGTCGCTACTAACGTCACATCATTCACCACCGTCGCATGATGCAATACTTGATGGTAGCTATATGCCGCTCGTTTCTTGCCAGCACCCGGCTAGCTGGCCTCTGGTCAGGAGCGGTGATAGTGATCCGGTGGTCTGGGGGTCATGTCCACCATCTAACATCATGACTTATTGCAACTACGCCGTTTACCCAGATATCAATTAAGCACTGGCAAACATATAGCTAAGTGTATCTCCTTGCTGGTCGCTACTAACGTTACATCATTTGCCACCGTCGCATGATGCAATACGTGATGGTAGTTGTTGCCATGATGTGGCTGATTTAGTCGCTAGGTTGTTCCTGATTTATATAGGTCAGCGATTGCCTGTGGTGAAACCTTGGCAGGCCCTGGCGCTGCTAATATTTGGGGAAAAGTTCTATTGCCCGTACAGCATATAAGAGAAAAAGAAGTCCTGCCCACTGCATCACATCTACGGCATCGGATGTCATCAAGTTTGCACAAGACGTCACGGATGTCGGACCGAAAGGATACGTCAACTACTCGTTATGGAGATTGTCTCATGCTCTGCACCTAAAAAGTCAGGACAGTCTCCACCAACGCCGATCTTCACGCCCTTCTCGAAGCTGCAGGGCGCGTCAACTGCCACGTAATCGCCTCGCAGGAAAAAAGTCCAGGAAGGCGAACGTGAGGCAGTGGATGGCACACTCATCATTCATGGTGATTTCCATCACGGAACGTTGGAGGCATTGGATTTGTCGTACACCCATCTATTGTCCATCTTGTCGATTCGCATGCCTGTCACCTCGTCTGGCTATCCTTCGACTCCGTCCTCTGCAGCAGAAAACCATCAGTATGATCAACTGCTATTCCCCAACATTAGCCGCTGATGATTTGGAACTTAATGCTTATGAGGATTTGGAGGAAGTCATCTACAAAAAATCCTTCTATAAGTTCGTCGTGAGTGTTCAATGCAAAAATCGGGATGCCAGAAGAAGGGACACAGGATCGGGAGTTGGATCAGGACTCCGGAATGAGAATGGTAACCGTCTTGTTGGGCTCTTATCTGCCGCACGACTTTTTTTTAATGGCAATTCCATTTTCATGAAAAAAGAACACCGGAATTGGACACGGGAGTCACAAAGTCACCCAAGATCTGAGAGTCTATGATGAAAGTCAATGCCTCAGTCAACAAAGAACTTGGAACGAATTTCCAAATTCCAAACGCCACTAAGGATCTGCTAGAGAGGAGAAGAGCACTGAGGCTTGATCCGACTGCATCACATCTTGAGCGACTGTTCGCCAATACCAGATGTAGAACAGCTTAGCAAGAAGATCTTCGAAAGTACATGCAATTAAAAGTTTTGTAAGCAGCACAAGGAGAAGGCTAGAGAAGTGCCGCGGGGACCTTCTTGACTACCGTGTTCCGCTGACAACATTACTACCGAAGACTGGACTCGCACATCTCCCGGCAGAAGATGGAATCGATCACGAAGAGATTCTACACTCATCTCTTTCCCTCGTCAACACCGTGTAAAACCTCATTATTCCCACTGTAGAAATACCACCACGGATTTTACCTGCTGAAGTACGCGCCGCAATCCAGACCATGAAGGCAGTCACGTCTCCGGGCCCGGACCATGTTTTGGCCGACCTCTTTCGAGTTGGAGGATATCGCCTTCACGAGATACTTGCAGGAAGCCTAACGTCTTACCTTCAAAAGGAAAGGATTCCCGACCAGTGGGGAACCTCCCGAATAATCCTGCTTCATAAGAAGAGCGATAGGGAGGATTTTTGGTACTACGTCCAATAATCCTGCTGAGCGTGCTTTCAAGCTCTTCGAAGATTATCCTCATTTGCATAACAAGGACATTGAATGAAGCCCCACCTGTAGAACAGGCTGGATTTCGCAAGGGATTTAGCCGCGTAGATCACATCCAGACGGTTTCGAGGATTATCAAGGTTTGTCGAGAGTACCGCCTACCTCTTGTTCTGACCTTCGTCCACTTTGAGGAAGCGTTTGACATTGTCGAGACTAATGCCATACTGTTAGCGCTGATTGACCAACCTATTTCAAAGGTGGGTCGACAAGGCGACACCATGTTGCCAAAGCTGTTTACCGCCGCTTTGCATGCGTAATGAAATCACTGCATTGGAACGAGAGAGATATATGAGTTGATGGGAGCCCTCTTAAACCTTCGTTTTGCGGGCGACATTATTCTCTTCTCGAGCAGTATCACAGAAGCGGAGACGATGTTGAAAGAACTAAACGAAAGCGCATAGGACTGCGATTTAACCGAAAAAAGACTCACTTTATAAAAAACGCTTTTTGCGAGGATTTAGGAAATGGAATTAGAAGGCTCTCCAATCGCGCAGACGTCTTCTTACGTATGTCGTGGGCGTTCGATGATCATGCAGAACAATCTGAAAGAAGAACTAAACAGGAGACAAAGAGCAGCTTGAGCCACCTCTGGGCCCCTAAAGGAAGCCACAGACTAGCTGACGGACCCAGAGCTCCGAGTCCAACTGTTCTCAGTGCGCTCTGCTAAGTAGCAGAGACATGGCCTGTGGCTACGTCAAAGGCTCTCGTCTGTTGTTCCCTGACCTTATGAAGTACAACCGACGCACTCAACATCTCGTCGGACTTCGCAGTTCAGATATGAGATCAATGCCTTGTCTTTGCAATTCAGCGAAATATTTTTCTAAAGCAAAATATTGATGGGCTGGTCATAACTAATAATTCTAGAATGGATTGCTTGGGAAGCAAAACGTCCTCGAAGTAGGCCACCGACCAGATGGGCTGATGTGTTCGTTGCACGGATGAACCAGCTGAATTCTCAGCAGGCAACGGGTAATGGACCTGGACCTCGCGGACGTCGTCGCCGCACTTCAATACCAACATCGTGGATGACGCTAGCGAAAGAGAGAAACGGATGGAAACAGTGCCGTGGCCTGCACGACAAGTGAAGACACGCCATCTAAGTATCTAAGTAAGTAAGTATTGGTAGGAATTAGAAAGAGTAGCTCATTCTTATTAACCACATGAGAACTTATGGTCGCAGTCATTAGTTGGCTAAGTGAGGGACGAAGACTATTGCATTTCCCGTAAAAATGCATTTGCATTTAGGCTGCATGATCATGTTCGTTCTGTACCTTACAGTATTCCGTACATTCTTGTCCACATATTGGGATGGGTCAGCTGAATTCTCTGATGGTAACGAGTAATGGATCTGGACCTCGCGAACGTCGCCGCCGCAGTTCAACCAAGATTGTGGATGACGCTAGAGAGACAGGAAGGGATGGAAACAGTGCTGTGGTCTGCACGAAGCGTGATTGTAAACTACTCATCATCACAATCGGTGCATAAATAATCATTTTGTGTAGACTAACGGAGTAGGACAATGTGAGAAAGGGCATTCTTTAAGAAAAGCGGTTTCTTTCAAAGCTCTTATTCTATTTGGACCGTGTTCATAGCGAAGTGATAGATAGACTTATCACAAATACTATCACTCCAAGCATTGCTTGGAACAGGTCCTGGCATCCTCTGTGGAGTTGGGCCTTACAAGGACAAATAGCCTCTTAGTAATCTAGAGTTAGCAAGATCTTTTTATACTCTTTGTAACCTGTAGAAACGCGTGCAAAAAGGACAAGCACTGCAGCGCTGTTTGCTTAATACGCGTTTTCTTCCCCTAGTAAAAGAATTTAGGGCCTCAGCAAGAAAACAGGAAAGCTATCACGTTATTGCTTTACAAGTTGGGTCAAGAGGTACATAGAAGGTTTCGATATATGAAACGCAGAATTATGAGAAACAGAATTGTTTGCTAATAGGAGATTTGAGCCTTCCGGAGATGCCGAGCGCTGGCTTGAAAGTTTGGTGATAGCGATATGATGGCTCATTTTGCATCATAAACTTCCAAGTAGCAGCTGTTGTGCGCAAATGTGAATCTTCACTAGAACTTCTTCCGCGTAGTTACAATGACCTTATAAAGGAGAAGATGTGGTTTTGCATTTATTTATATTCAACTTCTAACTTGTCGCCTAGCTGCAGTGGATCAATGCTTCCATGAATCAAATAACGCTATATGGGTACAGCATTCTCCTGTCAGTAGCGTTATATCCTTTGTTGTAGCACTCAATAGTGGAACTCTAGTGAGATACTGTTGGAAAAAAGTGTATAGCTAAAATTTTTTTACCAGTACTGGGGATGTCGCCTGAATTATAAGTTCGTCTAAAGTTTTTTTTGCAATAATAATATTATATCAAAGAAATAGTAGACCACACTGAAACATTTACTGTATAAAAATGGTTAATTTAGGATATCTTTGCCATTATATTCATTGTCACGGCTGTGATAATGATAATTATACTTTTAATATATTGTTGTTTTGCGATACGAATGCATTTTATGCAAAGGAACCTTCCTAACGGTTAGTTCCTTTTTTGGATTAGGCCAAACTTCAGGTAACTTTGATTGAACTCATATATTGCCATTGTATCCAGCTGAGGCTATCAGAACACTAGTAGACTTACAATGCAGTTTGAAACTTGGCTACCGTTGAATATTTATCAATATAAGCACCTTCACCTCAATAGGGACATTTTTACTAAATAAGCATGTTTGCGAGCGCTTTTTATGAGTGTTCAACTACTGCACTTACGAAGCGTTAATGCTCTTGTTTTTTTGCCTATCGTTCGAAGATAATGCGAGATCGTAACCATATTCTTGATGTAAAGGCAACTCCATTATATTCGTGAGCTCAAAATAACTAAAAGTAGTTTTTTTTGTTCTTCACATAATTTCTACATAAACCAAGGGCAACAGTGGTTGGGTATTTATAACAAATTTTTCGGATTTTTTAAACTGTAGCTAAATTGAGGGTTTTCGCCCAATTTACGTTGGTTTTCACGCCATTTCCTGCTTTACAAAATTCCTTCTTAGTAAAATTGTTGGGTTAATTAAGAATAGCTTTTTTACCCTCTACTAGTTTGAGTCAAGATCAGAAAGTAACAAAATGGCGCGAGGTTTTAGCTTTGTGCAAAAGATCCGTTGTCTTGGAAAATTCCGGAGATCGGTCTTTCAACCTTAAGACCCCTTAAGAGTGTCATCGATGTTAAGGCTCACATACACTGTAGGCCATCCGAGATTACGGAAACTATTTAAACGCACACGTTCTCAATATCTTCGGACCTTTTCCAACAAACCATCATCTTTTCCAACCACCCTCCGACTATCTCTCCAACTCAAAGTTGAACCTTTAATTGCAAAGTGTCTCTTGCGACGCGGCTGCACTGCATCTTACAGCAAGCCCGCAGTTTTTGCCGTAAGCATATTGACAAACCGGTAATTGAGGAGCTACAATATTACAGAGCTCGTCTTACGTTCTCAGCACAATTTATTATTTATTATTAATTTACTTCATGAATTGTTTCCTTATAATAAAAATCAATAAAACCTAGTTTGCGAATATGCTGATTTCGCTCGGCTTGGCAATACTCTCCTAGTCCAAAAATTGAGGCAAAATCATGTAACTTTAGAAAAAAAA